CAAAGTTTACCTCTGAGATTAGGAAATGGGACTCCTTGAATATCTGTGGCTGTGAAGCCTATATTTCTTTAGAAGAAAAGACCCAAAACATAAGGATTTTCTTAATATGTGACCTGTGTTTTTTTATGTACAGGGTATTAGAAAATAAAAAAATAAAAATATTATTATTACTTTAGCCATGTGAAATAGAGATTAGGATCATGTATCTGTCACACATTGATATTTTAGTACTCTTATAAGTGCTACATTCCACTCTCTTGTAATGATGTTGTCCTCCTACTGTTATTTAGTTTGGAGGTTGCTGTCAGAGGACGCAGATCATAACAACCTGTACATTGCAGACTGTACATATCCTGGCATTCATTTGTTCCTTAAAAAACAAAGTGCAACAATTCCTAACTTTTCAGGCCAAACTGTGTGTTCATTGGAAGGGAACACATTATGTCTGATCACTTGTCAAATCTATTGTCATGTTGCTAACCATATTTTTAAGGATTTTTAACCATTCTCAATAAACAAAGAACTTGTTCATAATGGACACACTAGTAAAAACATATCACTAGAAGCAACGTATTACTGTAGCATTTTTGTTTAACAGTTAACACTGGATTGTCCTTTCTGTGGTTAAACTGAGAGGTTGCACCTTTATGTATTGCTGAATATCTGGCCTATTCCTCTTGTATTTTGCATGTTTTTCTGTTCATTAAAGCTAATCCAAGTTTGTTGTCCCTCCATTGGAATCCAGAGAATTATTATTTATTTAATGAAACGAGGATCTTCTTAAGCATTTATTTTAAAGATATTCAGTAAAGCTCTGTACCCTGACAGTAATAGCAATGGCCAACCTAAAATGCCTTCCTTGCCAAAGACATAGTTGTCTTTCCACTTGTTGCTCCCTTTTTTGAGATCTGTGTCTCCCTATCAGTACAGGGGAGACAGACTGTCTGCTGAGAGCAGGTGATCATTATCTGCCACGCTCAGCGGACAGGCCTGCTGTTCATGCCTCACTGTATGTGGGTGGTATGCTGCAAGACTCAATACTTCTCTGTACATGCTAAGTGTCGGAAATAATTAAAGGCATAAAGCAGTGTCAAAAAGCACTATTATACAGTATATGGGTGGATAGTAAATACTGTAAGAAGACAAAAAGGATTCAAATCGGATCGACTTTCCAATTTCACATATATTCACACTGAAAAAAAGCTCTGCATTTTACCCATACTAAGAGCACCGTGCAGCTATAATGTGTGGGAGTTACAAGCAACACTAATTGCTCCCAATCCAAGTCTCCACAGAGTGAGATACTGCCACCCCATAATAATTTAGTATTGTTTTTAACTACGAGTACAAGGTACTTGAACTTTAATACAATTCAAAGGCAGTTATTTAACTTTTTGCTGCACTTTATTTATTAAATCATTTCAGTTGCTCTGCGTATTGAGATTAATAACACCAAATAAAACACATTTAAAGTATGATGAATTATTGTAGGCTAAGATAAGCATACTTCATTGAAATACACATGATGACCAAGAAGTATATGAAGTAGGCTCAATAAAATGTGTTTCACCCTTATCAGATATAACATTAAAGGGATATTGATATCATCCAGAAACATACATTAATCAAAGATGCATAATTCTGTAATAAGTATTTTTACTTTTGGTGCTTTTTAAATCAAGAATTTTTTTTAAAGTAGGACTTTTACTTGTCATATAGTATGTTTATGTGGTGTTGCTAATTTCATACATATTTATTTTATGAAAGAGGTGAATCTCCTTGATGAAATAAAAAATAACTAAAAAATAAATATAAATACTCATAGATAATAATTGGAAAACTTAATAAAAATTATTTCAAGAACAGACTGACTACAGGCTTTGGATAGGTTATACAGCATAACCTATAAAATAATCATTATTTGTAATATCTTAGTTTAGCTGGGACTGGGAGCTAATTTGTGCAGAGAAAATGATCTTATGCATGAACTGAACATCAACATGCTTTGATCCAAAGACAAGAGTTAATATCTAACACAATGTATTTAAAGACACAGGGCACCTGTTCTTTGATCGCCTCACTCCAACGTGGGAATATGTTGACATCCCCTGTGACCCCTGTTTCAACCTAAACAGACTGTACAGCAGACTAAAGTAGCAAAAACAGTTTGAGAAACCCAGCGAGATGAAAGAAGGCGATAACTGCGGTGCTTTGTACCTGTGGGAGGAGTATATGTGCACCTGCAGACACAATCATAGCGCTGCCTTGCTTAGCTGATCACAGATTTTTGCCAGCAGCAGGACGCACAAGCGGATACCTGAGCTATGGATGCAGAGGAGGAATCCCCCGCCGACCAGGGAGTGCAGCTCCTGGACATCAGCTCCAACTCGCCCCTGCCTGAGCCCAAATGTGAGGAGGAGACCGGCCAGCAGGAGAAACCTCCGTATTCATACGTTGCTCTCATTGCCATGGCCATCAAGGACGGCCACGACAAGAGACAGACGCTCAGCGGGATATACGACTACATCATCTCCAAGTTCCCCTACTATGAGAAGAACAAAAAAGGGTGGCAAAATAGCATAAGACATAACTTATCTCTCAACGAGTGTTTCGTCAAGATACCCAGGGAGAACGGAGGGGACAGGAAAGGGAACTATTGGATGCTTGACCCGCATTTGAGGACATGTTTGACCAGGGGAACTACCGGCGGCGGAGGAGGGTGAGGAGACCCTACACACCTCCGAGTGTGCCTTACCTGACCGGGAGCTCCGTGGACTTTCCCGAGCCGCTCTACCTGCCTTATGTGAGCAGCTCCTGGAGCCTGCCCCAGCCGGCCGGATACCAGGCGCCCCAGGTCATCACTCACCCCCGCAGCGTGCCCCCCAGCGGCCCCGTGAGTTCATACTGCTCTCCCTCACACTTCCATCACTCTCCCTACGGCTCATACCACCGCCACACACCGGTGCTGGTGCCCCACAACGCCTTTCCCTACGGAGGAGTGACCCAGCCGCTGAGCCCCGGCGGAGGCACCGTGTCGGTGGCGTACCAGCAGCTCAGCACCTATGCACGGCAAACGGAGGTTCCGCTTGCTTATTCATTTGACCAGTAGGGTTCGCAGTTATTGACAGCCAGTTCATTGAGGTTTATCTGTTTCACCATTTCAGTTGGACTGCCATTCGGTTATAAGGTGAAGTTATCCGGTGTATTAATTGTTAAAAAGCTGGTTAAGTTTTCTTCGGTTGGCCACAGTTTCAAATGCCAAGGAAGTATTGTCTAATCGCATTGCTTCTCAAATGGCACAGATCAAGTGTAAATTGCAGAAGAAGCTTAGTTTATGCCTCTTAAGTTAGAGATATATGAAGCAACCAAATCAAATTGTGTTTTTATATTTTTACACTTGTAATATGCAAACATTTTTTATAGGCCTTTACATTTTATATTTTGTGTTATTTATTTTCACTTGGGTCATCCAATGCTCCAAGCTGCTATGCAAAATTGGTGACACCAAAGCACTGATCAGTTTTCTTATTCAATTGTGAATGTTTGCTTGATGTAAAAATACATCATGTTTGTTCAAATAAAATGTTATTTTTGCATTAAATACCCTTATTGACTGACTTAATCCTTTTTATTATTATGCACATTTAACTTCAAGTTGTTAACAGTTTTTAGAGAAAGGCCTTTTGTGCTACCTTTGAGAAACCGGCTCGAGATCGCTAGAATTTGAAAATACACAACACGGAAAAAATCCTTACAGAGCCCCTCCTCCAACACACACGAACGCGCACATGACCAATGAGGGCACGAGATAAGTTTGTGCACAGATGGAGGCTGACAGGCAGGTAGGCCATCCAGTTACTTTAGCCGGGCCGGCTAAAATGATTGGTCGTGCTTTTTACAGTACTACGGCTTCCACAGATGACATTTTTGTATGGATTTGTTGTCAAAGCACTTAAGATATTCATTGCTATCGGGATGTTAAGAGCATTCCATGGAATATAACAAAAAGTGTATCTCGAGCCAGTTTCTCAAACTTACCTACCCCACCTTTACACTGATGCATCTCGGAACATAAGCTTTGATTAATTTAAATGATAAAGCTAATTGTATACTAAAAACGTCTTGCTATAACCAGTGATAAGTAGCAAATCAACTTGAAATAGGCGATACTCTTATAAAACTATGCATTCAAAAAATCGTAACAATTAAAAGTGAAAATAGTAGCCTACACATCAAACTTACTTAGGTCACCTTAAACTAAAGCACTTTAAGTACAATTACTTATCACTGAGTAATTGGGTTATTACTCCTTAAGTTACATAACTACTTTTATCTAAGATTAACCTATAAACATACATTCATTTGTAGATTATTGTTAATATTATAGTCCTAATATTTAATATAATAATACAATATTTGCAACGACAATAGTTACTAACGTTCTACAGCACATGCAATGGAGTAGAAGTTCAATATTTGATTCTGAATTGTGGAGGAGTAAAGTATGAAAGTTGCAGTAAATAGCAACTAGCCTATTAAGTTAAGTAGCCAGTCGACTACCTCGACATTTTACAGTAGACTGCCTGAATGAATGTAGGCATAATACGTGATACGTGTAAGGATCGTAAGGATGCAACAAAATAAGTAAGTCATATTAAGGAGGTTATTATGATTTGAAAGACCGAAATCAAAATGTAGAAACAGGTTACAGCCATAGACTGAATATATAAAGGTTACAGCACAGTACAAGGCTTCGAGGGAAAAACATAGAAACGGTCCCATCACTCATTCCAACACTATCATACTCACCCTCAACTGAAATACGCGGTTTTTTTAACCAAACATAAGTGTGATTGTTTTGGTTTTAACAAATACAGACTCTTATAACAACCCAAATCGTATACACCCAATAAGACGTGTGTAATAGTTCAGTAATGAGTGGCTGTAAAAGTCGACATGAAGGAATTGATAACACTATTGGAACTCGTCCGGGCAGTGACGCAGATTCCGTTTCCGGCACATGGGCGTTGACAAAAGGGGATCGCTTGCCGCGTGCGCTCTCGCGCCGTGTTTTGCGGTACCGAACACATAAGTTACATTTCTCGTGTTTTGTTAAACTACTTACTTCTGCATATTTGGTGGAAATGGAGGCTTTTACCCAGCTTCTGCTGGAATATCCGGAATTCATGTACAGCGGAGTAGGAGCTACGGCGTCTGTCGCCGTTGGAGCGCTGATATACAAACTAGCCACCAGGTAACTTGAAGGCTCTTAACTTGTGTGTTTTTACCTTTATTCCCGCTGATGTTCGAAGACGTAAGCACACCATGTTGCATAGTTGTTGTTTTTTTTAAATGTACCTTCGAGAAACAATAACATATATAAATAGGTTTCCAATATCCCAAGAGGAGTCTGTTTATCTTCGTTAGCATGAACACTAACTTTGCTAGCAGTTGTGCTAATTAAAGATAACTTGAAGCCAGGCAGTTATGTGCCGCTCTAACGTTTGGATACACGGTGACTTTCACTGATGTTCTTTGGACACACACATTTTTCTAGTTTTTGGGTGTATTATGTGCATGCGTTTGTGACATTGATTCAATGTGGACACAATTACTTCACATTTATAACATCATGGCTTTACACACGTTTGCTTGTCAATCACTTCCAATTAGATTAACATGAACTTTGACGTGTACTCCACTTACTCAGTGGACAATGAGCACCTTTTCAATATCATAGTGATACTGGGGAATAATCGAACCACCCTGAAAACACCAAGTAGTGTGCCACTGTGGGACAACTCTTAATCAGAAAAACATCAACCGGTTTTATTAACAGTGTCATGGTGCATCGTTTAATAACCATACCTCTTATTTACAGAAAGAAGCCGACCCATGCAGATGTGAACTGCTGGTTCTGTAACCAGAACTATGTGGTACCCTTTGGGAACAGAAACTGCTGGGACTGTCCAAACTGCGACCAATACAATGGCTTTCAGGAGGTACGTTTTTAAAAAACATAAATAATTCATTGCAGAAGATACTTTTTGGCCAGTGCTGTAAAATGTGTGTTGCCCTCTTGTTCTCAGAATGGGGATTACAACAAACCCATACCAGCTCAGTTCATGGAGAATCTGAACCATGGAGTATCTGGTAGCCTTCCCTCAACACCGAAGACTCAGCAGTCGGTCAGCAGTCAGATGCTCCTGTGCAGGAAGTGCAATAAGAACCAGACATTTGTCATCAAACAGTTGGCCTCATTTATCCCAAGGAATGATGCAAGTACTTTTTTCTCCCCTATTCACTGCAACACTGTCTTTATGGTTACTACGACTGACATCTGTAAACACTACATTTATTATTTTGTATTTGTAGGATAACTACGATGAGGAAATTGAAGCCTACAAGCACCACCTGGAGCAGACGTATAAGTTATGCAAGCCATGTCAGACAGCAGTGGAGTACTACATCAAATTTCAAAACCGTCACCTTCGAACTGTGCTCCTCAACCATCCTCTTCGACGCAGCGGAGAAACCGACAAGGGCTGTGTAACGGTCAGTGCAATCAAACGATGCATTAACATGGATCAAAGTAAGGCTTGATGGGTAACCTTAAGCTGTGCAGTGTGTACATTTCAACAAAATGTCATTATACCAGATATATAAAAACAGTTGGTCACACAAGTGCTACATACCAATGAACAACCTGTATATAAATTCTGTCCAATTATTAAATCAATTACTTTTTAACTGTCGTTCTCTAGAACATCTGATGGTCAAATCTTTATATATTCACTGAGGTGATAGTCATAAAGAAAATGTGTCTTCACATTGTTTAATTTTGTATTTTCCACAAAAATTAAACACTCTCACAGCTTAACATTTCTTAAGTTTTCACTTAATATTGGTAAGCAGAAACTGCAAAAATGTTTGCTATATACGTGAATTGATCTCACTTTGTTACTTATTGTAACCCCAATAAGTACGCTTAACTATCTCATAATAAATAAACCTACTTACGATCAGTTTATATAGCATGAGCTTGGTTTGTAATTTAAAAATGTGCATTTACCCAAACCTGAACTGATAAACCTGGGCTAACACAGCCAGTTGTCAACCAGCTCTGTAACTCCAGTTATAAAGAACCACCTGTGTCAAAACAATTGGCATATTGAGTGTTTTTAATTGGAATCAACCGAAGATTTAGGGCCTTTCTTATTTCTCTAATTTCCCCTCCTCGAATCCTCGGTCCTCCGGTAGTGACCCGGAAATGGATTTCAGCGTGCCATGTTGAAGGACATCTAATTTCTCTAAATGCACTTCGAGGATCGAGCATCAAGGAGGCTCTCTGGAGGAGCTATAATCGAGGATACACTGATGGGTCCTCCGCGGATTCTCCGCGAATGTATTTCCGGCAATAGTGATGTTTAAAAGAGTCGTGACGCACGGCTGGGGATATATCCAGTCTCTGATAGTGTTACGTTATTATGAGAGTGCTCTCAATCTTGTTTGAATCTGAAATTGTATATATTTATATAAATATATATAAATAATATTTGTGTGTGTATATATGTCCGCATCTGTAGCCTGTTATTGTCTCATTATACCGCACTGTGAATGAATTAAAAGTAAATGTATAAGTGGTCATGAACACATCTGTCCATCAGACAGAGGGCTGCTGTGCCTCCTGTCATCATTAATGGACGTCTCTTTAAAATGACCGCTCAGAGGAGAGGAGTTCTCATTTCTCTAACCGCCTGCTGCTTCCCCTCCTCTCTCCTCGGTTCCCCTCCTCGATTCCTCCGGTCGCATCTCATATGGGCGGGACTAAGACACAAGGATAGGAGGAGGGGAGTCGAGGAGGGGAATTAGAGAAATGAGAAAGGCCCTTAGTCTTGTGTGAAAGTGAAAACTTGTATTGGCTAAACCCTCCACCAGGAATTGCTGCCTGCTCTTATTAAAATATGTCAACATTCGTCTTTGTTGATAGTCATACGTTGTGAAATGTCATGATTCTAACTGCAAAAATCTCCTCTCTCCCGCAGAGCTCCCATGCTGTGTCCTCTCCCATGAAGGTCATACTGTTACGGGCCCTTACCTTCTTCATATGTGCTTTCCTAGTCGCTACATCTTTGTGTGCCTTGCCATACCAGCATACATCACTTGGAGACCCACAGATATTAAGTGGTGGGGCTATTCCTCCGAAGCTTGCGCCCAACAATGAATCTGCCCCCAACAATGACAGCAGTGGAGGCGTGCCCTTGTGGCAGGATCTGCTGGAGCTACTCCCAGATGAGGCCATAGATAAGGCCAAGCTGGTGTGGCAGCATGGAAAGAACAACCAGCTGGCTATAGTCTGTGTTGGCCTGTTGACGTGTCTCACTGCTATCTTCTTAGCAGGACCTGTCAGGTAAGCAGTTCTCGCTTCTTTATTTTCCTTTTAAGAAAAGTAATCTCAGACATGTTCAGACAAAAAAATAACAGTAATAATAATAATATGTTGCTGCATTTTCAGGTTGAGGAGAATTGATGCTGTGGCGTCTGTGCTCTGGTTCCTCATCCTATGCCTCCACCTGGCAGAGATCTACCTTACTGATGCCTCCGGCTGGACAGAAACAGCCAAGCTCGGCACCGTCTGCCTCTGTTGCCTAGTCAGCTTTGCTGCTGCTGTGGCAACGCGCAAGCCACTGGGTCCAAGGAGAGCCAGATATCGAAGGTCAGAATCTGAGCAGTAATTTTTTCATTGTGCTTAAAACATAGATTTTTGTAAAGAGCCCTCTTTCCAATAATTGTTGGTGTTTTTTAGAACCAGGATGAAGCCAAAATCTATTATCTCTATCTAATGTTCAGTAAAGGAACAACTTTTTTATTGCAATGTGCGAATGACTGTGAGGTTATGACGTGAATGGCAAACTAAAAGCATAGGGTGTGTGTGGCCCATTATGGGAACTAGAATCAGAGATTCTTGCTCAATCGCATCAAAACCTCACCCTCAAGCACAGGCTGAAATTAATTTAGTTGTAAAGGAATTTGTTACACTAAAACAAGATGGTATGATATGAACGGCTCACAATTCTCAATCTCTCTGGTCTAACTAATGCTGACTTTCTCATTGTTAAAATGTTTCAATGAGAGAAATGGACTAGTCTTGTATGAACAATGTAATCAACATGGAGAATTAAGGGTTTTGAAGAAAAAAACACTTGAAAGAGTATTATACGTTTTCATCTCGTGCTGATTTTGCAGAAAGTGTTTTTGGGAAAATTGTACCAAAATCTCAAATTAATTGTGTGTATTAACTACTTTCGTAATTCCTTATTAACTATAACATATGTGCATTTGTGACTATATCTTATTAAGCCAATCATAACGATTTAGCCATTTTAACGTTAAGCTCTGAACAACTAAACTTAGCAATGTATTTTACACCGTTGGAATGTTTGAAAGCATTTTGAATGTACTCACTAATTTATTAACTCTCTGGTGAAGCGGTGGAATTGAAAATCATTACTTTATATATAAATACTAAACCGCTCATTGCATGAATCACTAGTTTGCGATACACTGCAGGCCATGTTCAATAGCTATTTTGAATAATCTCTTCACTTCTGTGTTGCGCCACGTCATCTACAATTTCTGAACAAAGAATGGCCCTGGACATTTCAGAAAGTGTTCATCGTATGTCCTTTGAAGCCACTTTTATTCATAACTGTTGTTTGTTGGGAATCTCTTCCAACATGAGTGCTGCAACAACAATTAGTTTTAAGGCTGAGCAGGATTTATTCCTATATCGTTTTTATCAACGATGGGAATTCACCATTATGATAGCGTCAGGTTCATTTGCATATTGCAATTTGAAAATCTAGCCATTTTCCTGCAAGGAAAAGGCCGTCCCAAGAACGGTGCTATGAGTTTGAAAGTCGTGTTTCGATGCGCTCCGTCCCATTGCTGTAATATCCCTTAATCCGTTTTTCTTTAATTGCGCAGTTTTTTTCACTTTAAACCAGTTATACCCACAATAGATATACTGTGTTAAAATAGTCTCCTGTTACTCTCCTATGTGCTGAAAGCTATTGCTTAAAAACTAGTGCCTCAAGATGACCATTGATCAGGCAGGTGCTTGTCTTGGTATTTGCTGTAGGTGATCATGTCCAAATGGTAATGTCCGGCAGCCTTTGTGACAGTGCTTGAACGCACAAACATTTAATGTGTGTACAATATAAGTAGACTCTTTTAATAGTTTTAAGTTTAAATTAGAAAATGCGTCGTTGCCATCAGCAACAAATATTATTAGATTTATTTTAGCGCTTCCCTTATTAACTTTGCATGTTGATGTATTTAAAACACTGATGGACTACTAGTTGCATGCTCTTACATTTTGGCTCTCGCTAATTTTTTCCTTTTTATAGTTTTTTTTTATTGAACTTGTTTAGAATGTATTACGTGAAGGAAAAATGTATTTATATGACAGTAATGTGAAAAGGTTTTTCAAGCTAATAGCTGTTGAAAGTGTTTCTAAATTGCATTTGGTGAGTTTTGTACGGTATCTGTAGGGTTTGGATTGCATGTGGTGCTGTCCTTTAGTTATGTTCTCAAACCCAAGCCATATGGTGGTAGTAGTTTCAAAGCTTACATTTTTTTGTTTTAGAATAAAAGTGCTGCACATTTTAAGACATCATGTTTGTAGGTTATGGGGAAAGTATCGTCTCCGCTATTAGTTGTACAACTCACTATTCTTGATGGTGTTTTGAAAGTGATGGCTATTGATTCATCATACCATCTATCAGTATGTACTCAGTTTCCTTTTTACCTTTTTATATAAACTGTGTCATGTGACAGACTGCATAAACTCTTGACAAAGATAACATTTAATCTGTAGCAACTCCAACACGCCATGCTTTATTCAGTCTTCAAGATAACCAAAAAGGTCTCGTTAATTATGTAGGACACACACTTTTCTTCTTCTTTTTTTTTTACCAATGAAAGACGTGCAATGACACTCAAGTGTATGTGTGTGTTCAAAGTAAGATGTTTGAACCTTTTTTGTTTATGTATGGTAAGATGTATTGTCTATGCCAAAGTTTTACATGCTGTGCTAGAAGTTTGTGTCCGCTATACATTTTCATTGTGCATGTTTGTCATGCTATGATGTGCATAATATATAGTATTTGAAGTGAGTCTGAGTATTTGGCTATTTGTGTGTGGTTTTTAGTGAATTATTGTATCTGCTTGATACGAGTGTTAACCTTCATTAATGTCGTGCATTTAGCTTTAGAATCGTTACATCAAACATTTATGTTAATCATACATTTAAACTGCCAAGCTCTAGTGTAGCATTAAACCATCGCCAAGAACATGTGGTGATGGTTTACCAGTGATAGCTTCAGAGCTACTTTTTGTTGTTGTGAATGTCATGTTTTTACTGCACTGTTTCACTGAATATCCAGTATGTATACTACCTAAATGTTTAAGCATTGTGTGTGTTGCAGAAACACTAACTCAGTACTCAAGGCTTAAAAGATAAAAGGTTATTTAACCCACATCTTGGAACTTGACACTCAAAGCAATAATTTGCCAGTTTAATCCAAAGCCTAAATAAGCTAATTAACTATATCTCAATTTAATCGCTTACTATGCGATTATATAATGTTTAGTAGCCTCAGATATGGAGGTCCGTCCATGACGATAGTTTCCTGCAACATACATGCTCCACCCAATGAAACGTACCATGTTTTTGGTGCCTATATGCTAAGAGTGGACGTCTTTGTCATTTAATGTAAGGCTCCAGTTTGAAGACATTGTATACTATAAATGCACGCTGTACATGGAACGTAATAAACATCTGCTGAAAGGATAAGTCTTCTCTGTTTGTTTTCAACACAAACTCCCTGTCCACATGTATATGTTTCCAATTTGTTTGCAGAGTAGCTTAATTACACAACATTGGAGTCAAAGGACTGTTAAGGACGACTTTTGAGATATAACATGTATGGGCCACTGATTGTGATTTGTGGAAATGAAAACGAGTTGGTCTGTATTGCTGGGCAGCATTTGTCCTGGAGCTGTTGTTTTGAAGAAGCCATCAGCTGCTGCATGTGGTCCGACAGCTGCAGTAGCATTTCAGTGCTTATAAAGTGGTCTCATTGAATGGATAACAGAGATGTGGGGTACACAGTTTCTCCACTGATTTGATTGCAGACTTTACCAGTTTTGTTATTCAGATCTTAGAATTGAATTGGTACATTGATGATAAATCTAATTTCCTGATTACTTTACACAAGAAATCACAAAAGGGGAATTTTCTGTAAAGCACTATTTTAATTGACTTTGTGGGGTCCTTATTTGGAAAAATACACAAGTGTATAACTAGGCTTTTTATTTAGCATCAAAGCAGTTTTGTTGTAATTTGGTAGTAGACCGTTGCTCTTGTGTTGCAGATACCTTGCAGGCAGCTCTGCAGCCCCCCCCTTCGGCAGCCAGCCTCCTTTGCTCTCTCCGGAGCTGGTGGACTCCTTCGTCCCAACCCTGCCGCCCAACTTCTCCAAGCTCCTCAACCGCCAACAGGGTCCTCGCGAGCGCAAGGCGTCCCCCTCCTCTCTGCCGGGGCGCCTCAGCAGAGCTCTCAGCCTCGGCACCATCCCTCCCCTCACCAGGACAGGTAACATTAATGTTATTCCATACACTTTTAGAAGACGGATTCAAAACGAAATGCTTGATGCTGTCAAATCTTTCTTATTATTAGCATAATCTCTATAGTTGGGACTTGTGTGATTTTGGTTATTTGTACGTCATTCATTTGTGGTCTCAAAACAAACAAAAAATCAGTGATGGGGACTTCAGGAGTACTCGGTTCACTTCTGCCTAAAGTTCTTGTTGCGTCGCACCCCATATCTGCTCAGACATGTTTGATCTTGAGCTGCTTCTTGCAATGTGCTGCTTTGCATGCAGACAAGATCTAGATTGATACGATTCAGTAGATTTACTTTCAGTTTCTGCTGCTTGGCATAAAATTGGGTCACGCTACTGTTTCCAAACATAACTAAGTGGCCAACCTGCAAGCATATACATATATACATGCAATGAGTTAATTTAGGCTGATATTAAAGACTGGTCAATTTAGATCCATTTTAAGATATAATTGTATAAGAATGTGCATTTAACATTGTTCATGAGAGTACCATGATGCTACACCTACTGAAGTTAAAGCTTTCAATGCACAGCTGAAATGTTAATTCAATAGATGCTCAACATGACCTAGTCTTCAGCACCTTGGATAATTGATTGACATTTGTTATTTATTAAGCAGAACTTTATTAAGAAACTTGTGCAGCGCCTCAGTTTTGACTATTTGCTGCTTTATCTTAAGTAAAAATACAACATTAGCTTCTCTTGGTTTAAATTGTGTTTCTTCTGCTTTAAGGAAAGCCCTGGTTACTGGTTGTGATGAAAAGTATGATTGTATATGTTTTTTTATTTTCAGATTCTGGTTACCTGTTCAGTGGAAGCAGACCAGCCTCACATTACAAAGACTCCCCACCCTCAGGTACTAAACCTCCTGTGCTGCAGTCCAATAGTCAAAAATAATTACGTCTCTTGTCGTCATGTGGTCAAGCAAAGATTTTAAGGAGACATAAGGAATTAGTTGTGCTAAGAAATTCAGACTACCTACACCAGGGGTGCCCAACCTTTTTTGAACCGAGAGCTACTTTCAAAGTTGCCAGTCTGCCGAGATCTACCAGTCCAAATAGAGAGGCGTAGCCATTACTGACAGCCTACTATCAGGTAAATACACACTTCTACTTGTATACAACTGACCTTTGTACGATTAATTCTCCATAAAATACTGCAGATCCTTTATCTTACCTCTTTCTAATCTACACACATACAAGTATTTAACTGAAGTTACACAACAGTGTTGTTGATACAGAGTTGGAGTTTATTCACACGTCACATACTCAGACCCGGCGCCAGAACAAATCTAAAGGGAGGGCATATGATTTTCATGGGAGGGCCCACAAAACCGTCACGTGCTGCGGGCCTGCGGCACAATATATATCAAACAGCAAGGCCAACAGCATTGCGTAAAGACGCACACTTATCGCAAATACATACACAAATAAAGGGCAACATAGAAACCACTTTTGAAACATTGTGTGCGTGGCAGCACAGACACTGGTAAATCACGAGCAAGGCACACTGGTTACGGATGGCAGCTTCCTCATCGTTGCACTCGGAGAGAAATAGTAGAGACGGAGACGATGAACTGTTTAGCCCGCCTTGGGCATGGTTTATGTTCCTATGCACTGCACTCGGACTTGCTGTGGAGTGAATCGAGTCACCTCTGAGAGGGAGTTGGTTGACAGCTAAAAAAGCTTTAATATCAACGACAGCTGACACGTAATAACGGCTCCGTGCCAGCTGATCTGAACCAAAGTTCTAATTTCTTTATTTGTTTCCTCTCGTATCTGTCTCTCTCTCCACAAACTCTCACATGAAATGTGTTCTTTTGATGCGGCATGTCTTATCAGTCTGTAATGCGTGTTTCCAGTGGCAAAAACCTTTGACAGTAAAAGCCGCATCAGATGAAGACGTATTGACTTTAAACTGTCTACAGGGGAAACAAAAGGTTGCGTCTGCTTTTAACGAATCTTCAAGCCATGGTCTGTTGTGTACCATGCAGCGGCAAAAGTGCGCTTCTTTCCTGAAAACAATCTCCCTGGATAACGATCCAGCTTCACTTGCTTGGGTTTATTAACCCAAGATCATCGCTAACTCAGCCCCGGGGTTTGCCGAGGTCAAGCTTGTGACATTAAGGCGTGCTGCTGCAACGGCAGGTGCAGGGTCGCCAGCATCACCATCGGCTGCAGTTATTTCAGCGCTATTTCGTTTTAATAAATCCTTAGACCTTTTAAGCCGATTTCTGATGTCCATTTTGTAATTCAAACAGAAATGGGAGTCTACAGAATGCACAATAAACAAATACAGAATAGGCGGCAGAGTGTGACGCTGTGATTGGTCTAAATGGGGACGAATCACAAATCACAACAGACACATGCATTTATTTGACATAGCCTGCGATTTTTTTTTTTGTTCTGACATCACATACATCGTAGCATAAAAGTTCACAGTTTATTTATAATTAAAAAAATAAAATATATATTTTTTTTAATTTTTATAAATAATAAAAAACGTGTTTATTGGGGGAGGGCAGGAATGTCAAATGGGAGGGCCTGGCCCTCCCATTTGACATTCCTCCCACGGCGCCGGGCATGCACATACTACAGTGGGTAATGTTTTCAAGAAACATTGAACAGTGCTGCCACATATGACACATGAAAAAAAGAAAAGACTCTGAACTCTTTCTTTGCCATTATATAAAAATAGTGTTGCTACAAAAGTATAAATTAGGCTTACTAATAAGACGACTCAGATCTGAAGCTACTCAGGAATCTGCTGCCAAAGTGCAATAAAAAAGACAAAATTAATAGAATCAAACCCTTTTTTGTTGCATTTTAGTAGATTATAAAAATAAATGCCTTTTTTAAAATAGGATGCAAGCAACACTAGCTTCTTAACCTGAATTGATAATAGACTATAATCAATTTAAGTTTGCATTCTTATACCATTTTGTACAATAATTATAATGAATAAGTTCAAACAAACTAAAACTTACAGCTGATTAATAACGGTATCTAACTTGAGTTTTTATTATATCAAAAACCTGTTGAAATGCTGCTGTTTTTTACTGTCCCCAAAAAGCGCATCGGCAGCCTCCAGGAAAGCTTCTTTCACAACTTCGCCGTCTTTGAAAGACTTCATGTGTTTCGCAAGAACGTGACTGACACGATAAGATGCTCTGGTAGCAGCCTTGCTCTTGTTGTTGGGCCTGGTGAACATGGACTGCTGTGCATTTAGCTGTCCTTTCAGGCCCCTCCCCTTTTGGAGCGTAGGGCAGAATTAGGGCAGAGTAGGGAATTCCGTCTCGTAGCGTTTGTGCGCTGTTTTGAAATGCCGCTCCTAAATTACCCTTCTTCGATAAAGCCACGCTCGCATTGCAGATGAGACAGATGGACTTTCAATTGGAATAAATACAAAAATAATCATCCTCCCACTCAGAGTGAAAATTATATATGTTTTGCTTCTGCCATAATTGCGGTCTTGTGTGTGTGCGGACTGTCACTCCTGTTGACACGGACAGCGGTAGCGAACTAGTGCACTGCCCACTGCTCACCAGCCACGCCCCGACACATGGGGTCACGCCGGCCAATCACAAAGCTTTGATGGGTTCAAGTGCATTATTCTGGCACAGGAAGATTATGTTACAGGACATTAACGATAAAACAGAATATTGTTGTTCTATTTTTAGACACATCTCGCAATCGACTGGGAATCTCCCCGCGATCGACCGGTCGATCGCGGGGAGATTGGTTGGGCACCCCTGACCTACACCATGCAATGGTTTTGTTATTGATGGACAAATGGTGTGTATCTTCAAATGTTGTATCATGAAAAGTTATTTTGGGATGCCATCATCTCCTTTCCTTTGGAAAAGTAAAGTAAAAGTCTATTATACCCTAAGGAGATAATAAAGTAAGTGTTTAACCCTTCTCTTGCGTTAGCTCATACCCCCTTCCCATGCTATTTTCGGTCAAAATTGACCGGTGTGTTTTGCACAGTGATATCTCTGGAACCCCTTGTCCAATTTTGATGGTTGGCATCTCATTTGAACAGTCAAAGCAAGTAGAATCAAGGGGTGACAGACAGAATTACACCAGGGGTGAATTTCATATTATGTTTGGCAGTAAGTTCAAAGATAGTGCTTATTTTACATTACTGTATATTATAAAAATGCTTGCC